AGCTTCAGGTTACACATTCTCCTCAGCACATGGATCGTTCTCAGAAATAAGCCATATGTTAGGTCACAAAACAAGTCTTGACACTTTCAAAGTGTTAAGTTGAAATAATATCAAGCATCTTCTGTGATCACAATGGAATAAATTAGACATCAATAAAAAGAGGGATTTTAGAAACTATACAAAAATGGAAATTAAACAATATACTCTTGAATGACAGTGTTCATATCTACAAGTGCATATGTGAAAAAAGAAAAACTTCCAATAAATAATCTACTGATCCAACCTAAAGAACTAGAAGAGCAAGAGCAAATCTAACCAAAATTAGTAAAAGTATAGAAATAATAAAGAGCAGAGCAGAAAATAAATGAAATTAAAAAATACAAAAGATTGATGAAACAAAATTTAGTTTTTTGAAAAGCCAAACAAAATCAACAAACTTTTAGCCAGACTAAGTGAAAAAGAGAGAAGGTCCAAATAAATAAAATCCAAGATGAAAAAGTAGACACAACAAATAATGAGATGAAAGCGGTGATAAAAAGTCTCCTGGTAAAGAAAACTCTAAGACTTGACAGCTTCACTCCTGAATTCAACCAAATATTTCAAGGAGACTATTAATCCTACTCGGTATTCCAAAAAATAAAGACAAAGAACTACTTCCAAACTCATTCTACGAAGCCTGTATTACCCTGATACCAAACCCTGCCAAAGATACACCAAGAAAAGAAAACTACAGGCCAATATCGCTGATGAATATTGATGCAAAAGTCCTCAACAAAATATTGGCAAACTATATTCAACAATACATTTAAAATATCATTTATCCTGACCACGTGGTATTTACCCCTGGCATGCAAGGATGATTCAACATATGCAAATTAATCAATATGATACACCATGATAAAAAACAGAAGTCATGTGACCATTTCAATTGATGCTGAAAAAGCATTTGATAAAATTCAACTTCCGTTCATGATAAATACCCTCACCAGACTGGGTAGAGAAGGAACATACTTCAATATAATAAAAGCTACATATGTCAGATCCACAGCTAGTATCATGCTGAATATGGAAAAACTGAAAGTCTTTCCTCTAAGGTCTATGACATGACAAGGATGTCCATTTTTTTTTTTTTTTTTTTTTGAAATAGAATCTCCCTCCCTCACCCAGGCTGGAGTGCAGTGGTGCAATCTCAGCTCACTGCAGCCTCACCTCTCAGGTTCCAGCAATTCTCCTGGTTCAAGCTCCCAAGTAGCTGGGATTAGATGCATGTGCCAGCACACCCGACTAATTTTTGTATTTTTAGTAGAGACAGGGTTTCAACATTTTGGCCAGGCTGGTCTCGAACTCCTGACCTCAGCTAATCCATCCTCCTTGCCCTCCCAAAGTGCTGGGAATACAGGTGTAAGCCACTGAGCCTAGCCAAGGATGCCTATTTTTGCCACTATTATTAAACTAGTACTGGATGTCCTAGCTAATCAGAAAAGAGAAAGAAACAAAAGATGTCCAAATTAGAAATGAAAAAGTCCTATTATCCTTGTTTGCAGATGATATGATATTATATTTAGTAAAACCTTCCCAGAAAAATTATTAGATCTAATAAATTCAGTAAAGTAATTTTTATACAAAATTAACAACAAAAATCACATTCTGAAAAAGAAATCAAGAAAGTAATCCCACTTAGAACAGTTACGAATATAATATGATATCCAGGAATAAACCAAATAAGTGAAAGATCTCTATAATGAATACTATAAAACATTGAAGAAAGAAATTGAAGAGGACACCAAAAAATGAGAAGATATTCCATGTTCATTAATTGGAAGAATCAATATTGTTAAATTATCCATACCACCCAAAACAATCTACAGATTCAGTTCAATCCCTATATACAATCACTATCAAAATACCAGTAATATTCTTCACAGAAACAGAAAAAACAATCTTAACATTTATGTGGAACCACAAAAAACCCAGAATAGCCAATGCTAAAAGAACAAAACTGAAGGCATCACATCACCTGACTTCAAATTATGCTACAGAGCTACAGTAACCAAAACAGTATTGGTAGTGGCATAAAAGCAGACACAGAGACGAATGAAGCAGAATAGGGAACCCAGAAACAAATCCACATACCTATGGTGAACTTATTTTTGACCAAGTTGCCAGTAACATACACTGGGGAAAAGACAGTCACTTCAATATGGTGCCCAGAAAACTAGATATCTACATGTAGCAGAATGAAACTAGACCCCTATCTTTCATCAGAAAAAAAAAAAAAATCAAAATGGCTTAAAAACATAAATTTAATACCTCAAACTAGTAACTATTGCAAGAAAACATTGGGGAAACTCTCTGGTACATTGGTCTAGGCAAAAATTTATTGAGTAATACAAACACAGGCAACCAAAACTAACCTGAACAAATGGGATCACATCAAGTTAATAAGCTTCTACAACAAAAATGAAACAATCAACAGAAGAAGAGATAAAAAAAAAAATGGGGAGAAAATATTTTCAAACTACCCATCTGACAAGGGATTAATAACCAGAATATGTAAGGTGCTCAGACAACTCTATAGGAAAAAACATAATGATCTGATTAAAAAATGGGTGAAAGATCTGAATAGACATTTCTCAAAAGAAGACATACGAATGGCACACAGGCATATGAAAAGATGCTCAGCATTATTCATCATCAAAGAACTATAAATCAAAACTAAAATGAGATATCATCTCACCCGAGTTAAAATGGCCTATATTCAAAAGACAGGCAATAATAAATGCTAGCCTTCACCAGCCTCAGTGAGTATGTGGAGACGAGGGAACCTTCGTATTTAATTTAATTACCTGTGTTATAACTTAGAAAAATAAAGTAGTTTTAAATATTTTTCAAGTTATAACAAATATTTACAATTAAACCCAAAAGAAAACAGAGTAGGTCAAAGAACCCACACGTTGCTATTACCCAACTATCAAATTTTCATCATTCTTCAGACATCTTTTTAAGGTCAAATGTTTCATAAATTCTAAGAAAAAAACCTATAATTCAAACTCATTAAACTTGTCTGGATCTTCAAAAGATTTCATCCTCTCCTCTCAGAGTGATAGAGTTCAAATTTAGTGGACTACCCTCACGGAATTGACTTCTTTTCTCAATTTTAATTTTTGAAGTCCTCTCCTTTTAAAATCAAAGTCAGTGTATCAAACTGGAGAGAGAGTTCCAAAGGTATTGCACTCGCCTCTGTTCCAATTACTTTCTCGGTGGTCTAGAAGATGAACTATTAACTATTAACAACATAGGCAAATCTTAAACATCATTATGCTAAGTAAAAGAAGCCACACATAAGGGAATATGCATTGTATGATTCCAGGTTTTCAAATATTCTCAGAGGCGAAACTAGAGGAATAAAAATGGGGTCAGTGGTTGCCAAAAACTGGAGATGAAGGGAGAAGATTGAATGAAAAGGAGTATAATGGAACTTTCTGTGTGACAGAAATGTATATCTTGATTATGATTGTGCATACGTGATTATATACATTTGTCATAATTCATCAAGCTGTATACTTAAGAGTGGATAATCTTACTCTATGTGAATTATACCTCAACATATCTAGTAATTATGACTTGAGTAATAAGAATATCATACCAAGACATTGCCTGATAGAGCAAATACAGTGGTACTACCAACTCCCTGGTTGGAATAACATGCTATAAAGGTAATTAAAACTGGTGTTTGATTTAGGACAATAATTTTACAGTTTTGTTTCAGAGCAAGCTTGTAATCCTTTAAAACATGCTATATGTGTCTAGTTTCTAAAAAATTAAATGCAGTATTTGATACTAATACTTTAAATATTTCATCTTATATATTTAAATCTACCATATGAACTTGATGAGATCTATTATAATCTACATATTTCTGTACAAAGGATTAGATATTCTATACAGACCTGTGTCATTTGCAATTTAGACAATATGCATTTTTCAGAAATCATGAGGGAAATGCAAATAAAAGAACCACAATGAGATACCACCTTATCCCCGCCACAATGGCCAATATTAAAAAATTTAAAAATAGATATTGGCATAAACGTGGTGAAAAGGGAATTCTTATATGCTGTTGGTGGGAATGTAAATTGGTACAACCTCTGTGATAAACAGTGTGGAGATTTCTCTAGTTCAGTTCCTGCAATACTCCCTAAAGAGTCCTGTGGAGTCTGAAAGATTGGTTCCAATATATATCAATAGACATTGAGGCTAAGAGGAAACAATCTCTAAGTTGTGGTATAATTATTTTTATACTGAGAAATAGCACATATTTTATCTGTAGTGAAATTCATAATAAGAATGCAGAAATAAAAGTGTGAACCCTACTAATAAACAGGAAAAAATATTCTGCTAATTTTTTTTAAAATAGGTGAGAAATGATGAAATATTTTAAAAAAATAACTCCAATGAGACATAAAAATATTTGATTTTTTCAAGAGACTTAGTAAAAAAATGCATTCTTTTTCCACAAATATTTTTTCAAACAATGTTTTCTAACATTTCAAATTTAGTTATCACTATAGTCTTGTTCTCAGGGGGCCTATACTGCAGTTGTAAAAATAGGACAGGTCCTAAATCTATTTAAAACATGAATGAAGGAGAAGAAATCCAAAAGTAATGAAGCTTATTTTAAAATGTCAAGATTATGGAATTGGGAATTTGAGAGCTAAATTCAGATTTTAAAAAAAATATATATTTTTATATGCCTTCTCTATAACTGTGTATTCATATCTTCTAGAACTATAACTATAAAAGTGTAGCAAGTGAAGAATTCCAGAACATAAGAAATTAGTTAAGGTATATTGATAAGTATCAGCAATACATCATTTCTTAAAACTCTTACACAAAATTTTATGCATATTTAAAAATAAATGAAAAAATCAAGAAATGCCCAAATATAGAGAAAAGGGCAGTTTTGCATAATCACTTGATACAATAGTGGTTTATCTTACCTCTACTACCAGTTGCTGAAGAGATGGTGATGCTACCGGACGTAGAGTAGAATTACCCCTTATGGGACTATGGAGGTTAACATAAGCCACAACATTTTTCTGAAGAACCGTCTTGAAATCCTGAAATAAAAAAAAAAAAAAAAAAAAAAGATCTATCTGTGACACAAATAAATAGATTCTACTTTTTTAGATGTTAAATAATGAACATTTCATACTTAATACATTGCAGAATTACTTTCTTAAAAAAGTGATCCTATACTATTCAATAGTGTACACAAAGGTAATAAATGAATTTTAAACAAGAGTAGTAAGAGTTAGATATAACATACAATAAAATATTTCAAAGCATGCACCTGACACAAGTCAAATTTTAATAGAAAATATTCTTCAAAGGTTAACATAGTATGGATTCAGCTACAGAATATGAATGCAACCTAATTTTGGAGCCATTGAATAAAAGAAGAGATATAGATAAACCACTTCAGTGATGAATAAAAACAGCCCTTTTCTTTTGAAGCACGGAGCTACTCTGCACAAAATAACCCTGTATTATGAGCAAAATGGGGAATAATACAATGTAATCTTACAAATATTACCCTACAAAAAAAAGAATGAATTTCATGTACATAAGCAGCACCAATTGATTCCATAGAATAGTTCTCCACTTCTCTTCTGCTCCTTACCCCACAAAATTGAAGCTCACCGATCCTATTAATAAGGACCACTAAATTTTTCTGTTATTTCCCTGCTTTTTCATGAAGGCATTTAACAAATAATTGTCACAGTGGCAGTTCTACAGAAATGTCCTAAAAGATTACATTATATCATAACTTGGGAAAGTATCTTTCTTCTTCCAAAACTATGAAATGAAAGACTGCAAGGACTCCTATGCCTATCAAATAGATAATTTCATCCCATTTTATTTTTATTTTTTTCATTGTCAATTGACAGCTTAAAACTGTATAGTTTTATGGAATACAAAGTGATGTTATGATTTATGGATATAATGTGGAAAAATTAAATTAAGCTGGTTAACATATTCATCACGCCAAATAACATTTTTTTTGTGATGAGAACATATTACTCAACAATTTTTAAATGTAATATACTCTATTACTAAGTATATTCACCACACTGCACAATATATATGGAAGCTGACCATTTTCTCCCCATTCCCTCCATACCCCAGGCTGTAACCACATTCTACACTCTGTTCCAGATGTGTAAAGAAAATGTGTTATATATACACAATGAAATACAATTTAGCCTTGAAAAACAAGAAACTTCTCTCCTGATAACATAGATGGGATTGCAAAATATGTATACATATTGTATAATTATGCTAAGTAAAAGAAACCAGGGACAGAAACATAAATATTGCATGTTTTCACTGTTATTCATATTTTATGTTGAACATTCAGCTATGCCTCTGTAAGACGGCAGAAAAGACAATCATTCAAAATTAATAAACATGTTAAGTGCACATAAGTGATGAATTTTAAGCTTGAGTAATTTCTCCATAATACTGTTGAAAAAATATCTGCTAAGTGCTATGAAAAATCAGCCTCTATTAACACATTATCACATAGACACTGTGTATATATTAGTCTATGTAATTCTCATGAAAACCTCCGAAGATAGGTAATTAGTAGACTCACTCGAGGTATCAAGTCTCAGAGAAGTTAACCATGCCTAAGATGACATGTTCAATGGTAGAGAGAATTTGAACTCTGACTTCTTTTATTCCAATATCTGTAATATTTCCACAATAGCCTCTGACAAATGAAGATTCTTCACAGAAATAAAATGGTACATTTTAAAGAACTTATTTAGCAAAATGTTACAATTTTCCTAAAAGACCAAGATCAGTATTGAATCAATTCTCTAATAATTCTGTCTATAAATTCCATTGCTAAGTTTATTTGTCAACACTACCTAATCCTCTTAACTACAACTGTGGGTTTCCAGAGGTTTCTACGCAAGCAAAATTAAATGGGGCAATATGACATGTCAATACGAGCTTTCCTCATCCTCCTTCACAAAGGAATATATTTATAGCATAAATTAGTTTCAATCTAACATAAACTCTTGCATTCTCTGGAGTAGATTTGATATGACTAGGCAAAACAGGAAAGCTAGCAGTTTTCCAAATTTCAATTGGATGGTTACAAAATGGCTTCATGAATTGCATTGAAACATTCTGGTGAGGCACAGTAAATTATAAAAATACATTTTATAAGCCAATAATCAAATGTATATTATTTACTATTTTCATTACTCATGTGTCTTTGCCCATCTAGTCACCTAAAATGCCAGAAAATTACTGAATGTATAATCAGTTGCCAAATGTGAATATACCTATAAACGTTCAAACGCATTAATACTTAATTGTTTTGAATAGGAATAACCTTTCTAACAAAATTTTTTCCTGTGAACTCCCACATGGTAGTTGTTGTATTTTTGGCATTATTGACTAAGAAAATACACAGTTATCAAAAGGTATAATGACTTCACAAAAACTTAAAAATGAATGTGTATTAACCACAAAAATATCAGCTTAATTTGACAAAAACTATTGCTCACACACATGCAAGAACACATTGATTTACCTTACAGACTCTGACAATTGATGCTCAACTAAGTTCATAATAAATTTTCCTAGGCATTGGGGTTTAAGATGTTTACATTAGAAACTACTAGTTTAGACAAGACTACTCGAAAACATAGTTCAGAAATATACATATTAATTTAGAATTAACACAAATTTATTGTGAAAGTCACTAGAGAGGTATATAAAACACCTAAAATATAGTTTGATACAGCAAAATACATCTTTGGAATTGGAAAAGAATCTTTGAGACATTTTAAAGATATGTGCTTTATTATTACAGGGAAATTAAAACATTCATTTCATTGTTTTTGATTTACTAATAATGGTGCCGCTTACAGACATTTTCCCTAAATTGTTCATTAACTTGTTGACCAATCTTTAAAGTAATTTGGGATATGAGTTTGAGATGTTGGTTCGGCTATTTCATTTCCAGCTTACTTACAAATTTGTCAACTTAAAAATATTCTTTAAGCAATGGAAATTTTGCATTTGAATTCTTACATTTTAAATACGGCTTAAACATTCACGCCACTCATTTGCATACAGAAAAGCATTCCAATTTGCAATGTGTGAATCTTGATGAATTTTAGACTGAAAAAATTTTCTCATCTTTAAGTCTTCAAATTAAAAAAGATCCTTGCTATTTCTTTTCTATACCTTTTTAAAATATTTTCTTTGATTTTATATATTTTATCTTCTTTACGTGATTAAAAATAAAAATGTAGAAAATAATTTCTTAGTAAATTGTTCTTCTCAAAGCTAAAGTAGTGGAAAAAACTGCAATATTAAATTATTTTACTTTCCTAGTAAAATTGTCTATTTTACTGGCCTACATATTTGGTCTACATGTGCCTTTCGAAGCTCGTTTTTAAAACAAATCACAAAAGTAAATAGAATTTCTATTGATCCAATTATCAGTTATCATATTCCATTAAAATACAGTGCATTTATGAGACACAGACCTGTCAGAAGCATTTGAGACTTAAAACTCTCCAATATTCCAGTTGTATTCTAACTGTACCTCATTGCATGCTAGATTTCATTTGGATACAGGTTTCCTAAAGCGGCTAGGGAGGTAGGTAGGCAACAGACAGGCAGGTAGGAAACAGAAGGTAGAGAGATACGGGTGAAGGGTGGAGTGTGCAAGGAGGAAAAAGTGGAGTGAGGAAGAAAGGAAAGTAACTGCTATTTTACATTCAATATCCATAGTGTATAGATAAAATATAACGCTAAGGTAATAAATATTTAATATAGGAGATTGTTCCCTAATTCCAGATAATTCCTAGAAAGTGTAGAAAATGAAAGAAAATATGCATCATCTGGCCCTTTTTTTGTCCAGTGCCTGTCAAGCTGTCTTCTAAGGAGAAATACATCATCAGGTAAACACTGTGATGTGTTAGATCGTATCAGGGTTTGTAAGTCTGGTAACAACAGGGATAAGATATTTGAAGGTCATCGGTACTTTGCTGTGGTCTAGCTCTAATTTCCTCTTATTCTTATAAGCCACCTCAGCAAACTAGTCATATGACATTTTGGTTGAGAAGCACATCATTGCCCGGGGCTTCCACAATTGAACTTCATCTACTTTAGCAAATTAAGAAAAGCACTGTAATTAATGTATATTTTGTTTTACCTCTCCCCATTCGTATGAGCCAATATTGCCAAAAGCTGTTCCTCCCCAAGAACAGAAAACAATAGTTCGGTCTGGTCTCCACCCTGTTTTAACTTTTGGCATCAAGGCACGAATAAACGCTGTGATTATTGCAGTACTACTGGCCCATTCTTGTCCATTATAACTGTGTGCAGTATGATGATGGCTGCCAACTATGATATACCGGTCTGAAAATAGAAAAGGACAAGAGCCATTTCAGAAAACGTAAACCTCAACAATAAATCTAATGACATTTACATAATCCTGTTGCACAACTGAGCAATAATTAAGCAAAACTGTTCTAATAATTAAGACTATTTCAATATTTTTGCCCACTGTCTTAACTCACACATCTGTGTATATAAAAGCAGAAGCAGCTGCTGAACCCAATTATGAAACCAAAGCTTAGATTCACATTACTCTCCTTTATAACATGAATATTAATTAATGAAGCATACAAATATGCCACAATCAAACCCTTATCTAACATTTTTCCAGAATCAGAGTGGGAAGTGCCCTGTAAACAATGTATGTATGCTCAGTAAATATTAGCCAACTATTAATACATTTGAGAAAGCACTGATTCAGTAGCTTTAAATATTAAAAATGTAGTAGTCGTGTATGGATTCTGCAATAAATTAATTACATAGGGAATTAATTATAGCTTCCAACTTATAATTTCAGGCCCTCTCCTTTCTGTGAAGAAAAAATAAAATAAAATTCACCAATGTCGAAAGTCATTTAACTGTTGTAAAAGTTGCCATTGTATACATTTTATTTCATATGGTCATTCAGAATGTATTAGATACACTATTGAAGACCCTTCCTTTCACATGGAAGTAGCCTATTCAATATATATTACCAAATATTTTCAATAATAAAGCTGAAAATACCCCTTGAGAGTTTCCTCTGATTTTGTTGTCAGTGAGAGTTATTGGTATTAATAACATATCTGAATGATCTGACCAATTATCCTCATTCATCTGTGCAAAAATTTTTCTTCGTTGAACATCATTTTACGTGATGGTAAATTGCGCAGACCCAGAATCCAGCCTGTTTGTGTTTGAATCCAGCTTTGCAAGTCACTGGTTGTGTGACCTTGGAAAGCTTATTTCAACTTTCAATGCCTTCATTTTTTATCTCTAACATAGGAAAACAAATAGTACATCCTCAATTTAGTTGTTTTGAGTTTGAGAAGTTACTATTTGTCTGCCACTTTGAACAATGCCTACCACAAAGTAGGTCTTACACGTGTGGAATAAATAAATCAGCCTTTGACTTACAACGCCAAAAAGCTACCTTACGAGAAATGCCACAGTATGAAGATACTACATACAGAAACTGGCAATGGGTTTGATCTGCCAACATTTTATTAAGATTTAATTAATGGTATACGTAGTGTGTCTGTAAATGTTGAAAACTCAAGAATTTATTCACTTATCTCCCATAAAAGTCTCAAAGTTTTGCTTGGAATTTTCTGCCTTCTAAATAAACTCTATCTAAGAAACAATGCTAATTGATGATTGTTTCTAATCTTCAAAGCCATTAAATAAAAAGTCAAGTAAATAAAGTCAATTTTTTTTGTAAGATTCAAATAAGCAACATTTGGGAAGGTTTGCATATTTTACACTGAAGAATACTAATTATAAAATTGATTTTTTAATTCTAGGAGCTTATTTTGTACATTGAATTTTCTTCATTCTAAAGCTAGTATAATCTGTACAACTGGGTTTTCCAATAACAACTTGCAAATGTATCAATGATGATAAACATTCTAGTTCCTCAGTTGAAAACCTTATAATGGAAATTTGTTAAAATTCAATAGTAACAATTTTCAAATTTATTTATATCTTGTATTTAAAGACACTATGATCAGAGGTTGTTCAACATTGTAACTGTAAAGAAATCCGAGAAAATAAGTGGCTTTCATGAATTTTATAAGAGTTGGCCAGCAAGAAACTGGGAGGCTACAAAACTTCATCTTAAAATTCTGAGCTAGCAACTAGGTCAATTTTACAAAAGCCATGGAGAATAATAATTCTCCAAGGAGAACTTGAGTAAATATCTCAAAATCAATAGAAATAACAAAAGTATAATAAAAAGATTGTTACATTCTACACTGTGTAACAAGCACATCCCATAGTAATATGTGATTCAGCTTTACAATGTGTTTGGAAGTATTGCTATTAATGTCTTAGTATATGACATTTATTTTTACTTGTTTTAGCCTACATAACATCTGAAGATTCCATCAGTAGTTCTTAACAAAGTGTAAATTTATTTTAAAAAATCTAACGGGTGACCTTTTGATCTTTTCTTGTCTTTTTTTTTTTTTTTTGAGATGGGGTTTCGCTCTTGTTACCCAGGCTGGTGTGCAATGACGCGATCTCAGCTCACCGCAACCTCTGCCTCCTGGGTTCAGGCAATTCTCCTGCCTCAGCCTCCCTCTCAAGTAGCTGGGACTACAGGTGCACACCATCATGCCCAGCTAATTTTTATATTTTTAGTAGAGACGGGGTTTCACCATGTTGACCAGGATGGAGACGTCTCGATCTCTTGACCTCGTGATCCACCCGCCTCGGCCTCCCAAAGTGCTGGGATTACAGGCCTGAGCCACCCGCGCTTGGCTTTTTCTTTTTTTTTGAGGCAGTCTTTGTTGCCCAGGCTATAGAGCAGTGGCGTAATCTCAGCTAACTGCAACCTCTGCCTCCCAGGATCAAGGGATCCTCCTGCCTCAGACTCCCAAGTAGATGCAGCTGACCATTTTTACAAGCACATTCAAAACCTAAAGCCATGCAGACATTTGACAAACGTGTCAACAGACCAAGAATACAGAGTGGGACTTAGATCAAAACTGGACAACTACATTTGGAGACCAAATTTTCATTAAAAAAAAAAAAAAAAAGAAGAAGAAAAGAAAAACACTTAATAGCTAAAATCTTTCTTGGCCAGGCACAATGGCTCACACCTGTAATCCCAGAACTTTGGGAGGCCAAGGTGGGTGGATCACAGGAGGCCAGGAGTTCAAGACCAACCTGGCTAACATGGCAAAACCCTGTCTCTACTAAAAATATAAAATAAAAAAATTAGCAGCGCATGGTGGCAGGCGCCTGAGTCTCAGCTACTCAAGAGGCTGAGGCACAAGAATTGCTTGAACTCCAGAGGTGGAGGTTGCAGTGAGGAAAAAAAAAACAATTTTCTAAAATGTCTTCTTGATAAAATTTTCAACAGTGTTATGGTGAATATACAAAAAAGAAAAAAAAAAAGGTTTGACTTTTGTAGGACATGCCAGTTTACCAAATCTAAAATCATCTCCTCCTGAGAGACTCCCACCTCTCTCTCTCTCTCTCTCTCTCTCTGATTTATTTTTGAAGAGATATGGTAGGAAAGAGAATGAAGACCTACTTCTTAGTTTCAAATTTGTCTAATTTTAGAGTGGGACAAATTTCTAGCTATATCTAAAGTAGAATATTTAAGTGTGATATTAAATTATGACAGAGCATTTCCTTGTAAAGTTTCATATAAAGTGCAGATTATAAATATTTAACCCTACTTACCTGGAGACGTCAAGCCCATTACATATCCAACAACGTTAGTTACTGTTTTCAATTTTGTGACTGTCTGAACGTGCATGCTGATGACTCTTATTTCTGAAAAAACAAAAATTTAAAGACTTTTGTTTCTTTATATTTTATTGTATTTTTTACATCTTAAAATTTATTTATCCAATATCACCAGCCAAAGAATTTCACAGAATAGAATGTTCTCAGATAGCCAAAGTTATACCGTTTTTGACAAATATTTATTCAATACTTGGTGCAGATTCTATTTTAGATGCTCGTTATGCAATGATGACTAAGATACAATTGCTAGCCTCTTTGAACCTCAGAGCCGTAAATAGGCACTTCTAAACCTCACATTCAGTGCTGCAATGGGGGTTCATTATGAGAGCATTCAGAAGATCTTCAGGAGATATGGGCAACACATATTTTTAAAAAGGGAAAAAATAGATTCAAACATTTCCAAAGAATATTGAATACATTTCTATTTTCAGATAAAGAATATGTGGATGATAACCTTTTCAGTATGACTCACTATTTTATTAACACTTTAAAAATGGTAAATAAAGCATTACACAACATAAAAGGATAAAGATTCTTAAAGCTGTACATGTTTTCATATATTGGAGTTTTTATTTGTATCGGGGTTTGTAGGTCCTTACCTCTATTCTAAATCTATACTAATTGCTCTACCTCTTTGATTTTTTTCTGTTTATGTTTGACATTCAAAAATTTTGCAAATAAGGCAAATATACCAATCAGGAGGGGCTCTAGTCAGAGAATTGACATAGTCTCTGGAGGTGAAATGTGTTAGTCCTGTATTTGACGGATCCTGAGAAGTCTGAGTTAGGAGGTGGTTCTCAGTGTCTTTAAAGTTTTCCTTAAAGCAGAGTAGCCAGGTGGTAGGGTCAGGACATTGTGGCAAATTTGAAAGCAGCGAATGCAAAGTAGCCATATTATACTGGTAGGCCCACAAATGTCGTTTCTTACTGGTAGATAAAAATTGTAATAATAAATATGTTACCTCTTTCCCTCAATGTACCCTTTCAAACAAATTACATGGAAAATCAGTACCGTGAATCCGTTAAAATAATAACCAAAACAAAAGGAAAGAGGCCTTTAGAGAATGCCTGAGTTTCTTGTCTGTCTGTGAGTAAATCTACTTAGAGCCTGAGCACTGTGCTTTTAATTTAGGTACTATGCATTTTTGTTTGTTTTCAATTAACAGACGTTGTTTTTTAGAACATTTTAGTTTTACAAAAATACTGAGCAGAGAGTACACAGTTCCCAAATGCCCTCTCTCTCTCAAGCTCCTATTATTAATATCTTGCATTGCTGTGGAACTTTTGTTATGATTGACAGATCAATAATGACACATTATATATATACATACACACACATGCATTCAAGGCTACAGATTTTCTCTGTGGCTATAGCATATTAATTTTTATGTATGGTCTTATTATATTACAGATTCTAAATTTTTTAAACTTCTATTTTAATTTCTTCTATAATATGTGTATTAATTCAAATAATTTTCAAATGGCATATAATGTGTGAATTACTGTTTTGATATTGATATCTAACTTTTAATTTATGAACAAAAAGCAAGGTCCATGTGCTACCTTGATATTAGGTGAGATTTATTTTGTGACCCTTTAGGCTACTGCGTCTGATATATAGAGAATTAAATTTTTCAGTAAGCATTTTATGAAGGATATGCATTGGAATAGGAAAATTCATGGGTGCAGCGTTCCACATATATGTCCAGTAGGTCAAATTTTAAAATATTGTGGCTACGAACTTACCAATTAAACTATGTGTTTGCTCTGTTAATTACTGAAACATGTTAAAGTTTCCCAAAATAATATAAAGTTTGTCAATTTATTCTGGCAATACTACAAAACATTTTCCACGTATTTTTAGACAAGTTTGATAGTTTTATACAAGTTTGGAATTACTACATCTTTCTGATGAACTGTTCCACATAATTCTACTCTATCCCCAACTTTTTTTCCTAAAGTCATCTCCTCCTTCCCTCTGCTTGATATTAACGTAACTGCTCCAACTTTCTCTAGGTGGTTATATCTCAGATACATAGCTTTCCAGTACTGCATTTCCTTTTGCCAGGCATCCCAAAGACATCTCCAGCATGGGGACAATTTTCATGCTAATTGTTTGGCCCACAGTTTCTATAGTACAATTGTAGGGAACATTCTAAGACAGGATTTTTGATTTTGAAAGGTAGATTTTTAATGTTTTTTAATCATCCAGAGCTCAAGAAGAAGAAAGCTTTCCTCTATTATGGGTGGGTTTCTTTCTTTCTAGTCTTCCTGCGCCCACGCTATACCCATCGTTTGATATAGAGGTCTTCCAGCTCCCTGCCTCCATGGGAACATGACCATGTCTTTTGTCCCACTGTGGATGCCATATTCCCATTCTAATTTTACCAAGACCCATAACTTCTCAATAACAGGCAAACAGAGTTGCAACTCTTTTACTTACTTCTCTGATTGTTAATTCTGTCTTCATTTTTGCTTCTGTATATTTGGCTATATTTTAGTTTATTTTTTGAGAACTGCTTTTAAATTTCCTTCAGAGATCTTAAACATTTGTACAGAAAGATTTCAAATTATTTTATTCTGTCTTCTACATCTTGAGGTCTAGAACTATCTACAAGAAGCACAGAGGTTGGAGAAAATAAACATAATCTTTTGCTCCGGGAAGAATGCTATATTTATATTGGATCCTTTCAACTGACAGAAGGACTTCCTTATGTATCACTAGGCAAAGACTAGGTCAAAATAATGACATATTTACATAGCAAAGATCTACTTTTCATCTCTTTATTTACATCTTCACAAATGTGCTGATCCTGATGCATATTGTTTTATATTATTCCATACTCACGTCTGAACATAAATATGCATAGAGTCTGTTTTTCTTCACTGGAATCAGCACCATGATCACATTTTACATTTTAGTAATAAATATCAGAAAATCATGAATAAACTTGCTCTAAAAACTCATCTGCTGCTGTTGGCATTGCTAATTTAAACAACCCATTGGTAAGGCAATATTAGTTTTCATAGCAATAGCAATAGCAATCCTGTACTTTGAAATTTATCCTACAGGAATAATTCAACTCTCTGCAGTATAATCTATAATAGCAATTACAGAAAACAACATAAACATCCGTAACAGGGAAATGACTTAGAAAATTGGGATAAAATGTGTGGCTGTTAAAATGTACAAAGAATATGTAGAAACACGGATACACTATAAGAGTGAGAAGAACAGGATACAGAAGGATATACATAATGATTGATCTTAGGTAAAAATGTGTATGATTATGGACAAACAATGAAAAAGAAGAGATTAAATAATGGAACAGAAATTGGGTTTAGCTGGCCTTCGTATATCTGCGGGAGTGAGGCACTGTTGTAAAAAGGCTTGAACAAACCTGCACTCTAGGGTATCTTTTCTATTCCAAAGCCCCAGGGATGATAGAATTAAAGCCTAGAGAGACTGTCTACTTCTAGTGCAGCACCTGAAACATTGAACCCTTTTACACCATAGAAAATTTTAGAATTTTTCTCTTTATTTTTGTGCTTTTTGAATTTAACTATAAAATGTGTAGGTGTGTTTTTTCCTGGAAAGATTATTATTTCTTTCTCAACAATTTTCTGTCTTACATTTTTTCCTTCTTCTAATATTGTTTCTAGAACTCCATTTTAATCCACTGTGTCTTTTAGTTGTATTTTGTATTTCTCTACTTATCCTTTTCTATGCCTCTCTGGATCTAATAGGTCAATCTCATCTCCTAGCTCTTGAATTTATTCTTCAGTTAGCTCTCTCTCTGACTGTATCTATCTACCTACCCTATCAATTACTATATTTCTTTCAACTCTCCTATTTTCCATATTATTTCCTCTCATTTCTTAATGTTTTCTGAATTTTGTTTTATATTGCTAACACATTTCATTCTCTTTTTGAGTTTAATGCTTATTTTAAATTCTTGTACCATGTGTTCCAATATTGTAACTTTGAGTGACATATGTATATATTGTGCTAATTTTTTTTTATGGTGGTTATAGACCTCAGGATCTAGTTATTTTGGTTTGTAGTCCAGCATGGTATATCAGGGCCCAAGGATGGTGAGGATAGTGTCTAAGTGTATGTGTGTGTGTGTGTGTGTGTGTGTGTGTGTGTGTGTATGTGTTTACCTATGTGTGAGAAGGCCTTAATATGAGGAGGAAAGCAAGTGTCAGGGGAACCAGTGCAGGGAGACAAGCCACTAAAGCAAAGTGAGAAGGCCATCTGCAGTTAAAAGCTGAATAACACGTAGTGTTAGGGCCTGGGTAGCGTTAACCACATTGTGGCCGGGGAAGACACAACGTTTGATATACAGTGAATAGCCTGAATGAAGCAGTGCCTGGGGCTGGATCCATTGTGAAGGATGTAATGGCATCAGTTGATTAAATGCACAGGATCTAATTACTTAAGTAAATATATTCTGTATAATGAGAAGCCAATTTCTAACTGCTAAAGATTTACAAACATGGAAAGATAAATAAAACTCAATATTGATATGTTCTCGTGGTTATATATATATATATTTAAATTTATTTTAATTATATTTATATTTAAATTATAAAATTTAATATATTTTATATATTATATATAAAAAATGAGAACATATCGATTTATATTAAGTTATATATTTATATATATAAAACCATGAGAACAATCTACATATATGTTGTTGATTACATACATATCTATATATATTCATGAGAACATACATATATACAAAACTGTGTGTGTGTGTGTAACACCCATGCACATATATTTAAAAGTAAATATAGCTATAAATCTGAGTGTACAGATATATTTTTATATATTTACATAAAATATAACATCAAAATATATTTTCCTAGTTTTGTTCACTGAGTGGTATGGAGAGAAGCAACACCTCAACAGCAATGGATGAATCCAGATCTGGTTTTCTAGACACCATTTTCCACTCAAAGGACCTAGACTCTTTGGAGAAATGGCTGATAACAGAGCTGGCACAGGAAAAGTACAAG